CACCCCTGAGTAGTCAAATTGGCTGTCATATCAATGGTGTTAACCTCTGCCGGGCAGTTTGCGTCCCAATGCGGAACTGTGGTGGCGACATCCCCTCTGCTTGTAATCATTCCATCGTGGCAATTCTTATATCCGCATGTTCTAGTCCCTAGCATTCGACTACTTACGACTTTGTTCCAACCTCTTACTCAGGATTTGTGGGGAATATTGAACCCATACCCCATCTGCACAATTCTGGACGACATATACTGATTCGGTACTGATCACCGCGGCGCCTTTTTTTTTGCCTGCGCTGTCCCCTCAGCGACGCTATGTTGCGCGTATTTTTGCAGCCAATGTCATGTGCGCATGAAACTCCACATCAAATGCATTTACTTATTCTGTCTGAAAAGTTTTCATTGAAATTTCCACCCAATGTGACGGCGCGGTGTCTTTCTTCGCCCCAGCAGGCAATCTGCCCCTGGGAAGGCTCTATTTGCCACTTAGGATCCGCTCAACAGAAGCAACCTTGCTCTTGGCAGTCTCGTGCTTGTCCGTTCTGTTTCCCCGCATCAGCCATCTCTCTAGCCCTTTCGGGTGCTATACTCTAGACTCACCTGGACCCAACCCTGATATCTGTGTGAACCCTCACGACACCCTGATCATGTAGCATCCCATGAGCCTGACCGATGACTTTCATCACTAGCCTCGCGATCAGCACCCAATCCCGCTCACCCTCGATTACGCCAGGAACCTACCGGCGTCCCAACTGCCCTCTGAGTAGCCTTCTGATTAGCATTCAATTCTTCCCTGCAAGCGTACACCAACCGATCTTACCAACAGTGGTTCCATTTGCATGCATATGATACTCCAGACCGCTCTCTTTCAGGAGAGTCTGGACTTGTGCGATGTAAGGGCTCACCGACGCACTGTCAACACCCATCTGTTTGACATTGACGTTAGCCGGGGGCCCAGGGCTGAGGTTGTGGCTGCTGCGATACGTACTGGGATTAAACAGAAGTCGGCGCAGCAGTGTGGAGGCGTCTTGATAGCGGCGGTAGACATCGCGATCGTGGGTAGCTGAATTTGGGTCGGCGGGAGTGCGGAGATTCAGATCTGCAGATGTTCTTGCTAGTTATACGTTAGAAGCGAGGGGGTCTTAGCTAGTTGGGAGCTCTCGTGAGGTTAACGTTGAGTTGCCAAGCATTCGGAATGTGGTGGTGGTGGTGGGGTATGTACTAAGTAATCACAGGAATTTCAACATCGGATCCATGAGATGCTGAAAGGTTCAGTGAGAAAAGGTACCAATGATATCGAAGTCACTCCGGGTACCTGTCCGGATATCCCGGGGAGGGGTCACTTTAGAGTAAAACGCCTTGCGATCAGCATATGCGCGTGCTCAATTGCATGCAAATCAAGTGAGAGACACAACTACCTAGATGTGGATTGAACGTTCGTTGGTACGCCACGTATGCACTGAACTGTCGGGCATATATATGTTTGGGCGTTCTGTGTCTCAATACTCTACGGAGCTTCACGGTGGTTTGATCAATTGAGGAAACTATTTTGTCAGGACTTTTCGGATCAAAACTCATTTCATGATCTTTTCCCACTGTTAAAGCCTGTCGACATGTCCCAAAGGCTGAAAATAGGCTGATACAAACCTTTCTTGAAAATAGCAAACGCCCATAAGGTACCTTGGTGTTCCACCAGACTCACTGAAGAGAGGAGTTACCTTAATAATGTGGCGAAGTCACTGTGCCACGGGTCCTCCCACAGAAGCCACGCATGTTAAGGCCGCGTTTGGAAAACATCGAACGGAACGGTTGTCTAAGAAACTGGGGCTTCGCTGGCGCGTCACTAACGACCATGAAGCATTGGAAAGATTTGGCAATAGTCGTCGTCCTTTATATTGCGGCTTCACTCACTTTGGGCCGTAGAGAGATTAGAGGAAACTGGACTTTGAACTGTTCTCCCTTGCGGGATTCCTGGATATTCTCATGAGAATTGAGAAGAAACATTTCTGTAATGTAAAATATCAAGACTTGGCGTATCCTGAAATGGAAACTACTTCCTAAATCGCATCGACTATTGTTTTTTGTTTTGTTTTAATCATACTGTATTCACTCTGCTTAGAGTATGACAGGCCCCTAATCCCCCGACGCCTCCGGGCAAGCCGGTTAGATGGCGAAGCTCCGCTCCTGCTACCCGTCGTCCCCTGCATCGACTATTGTAAGTATCCATGAAGTAAACTTCATGGCAATGGCCGCTCAACAACGGTCGACCGTTGAGTGATATTTAGTGGTGTTTGGCATGTCCACTGCCGTTCTGGTCGAATGGTTGTCAACAGCCAAATCGACCATTATTGAAAAGGACCTCCGGAGGTCCTTTTTCAGACCATTCACTAGTTTCACAGCCAAAACCTCCACTTTTCATGGGTAACAGGGGTAGTTGCAATGCAATGAATGGTCACCTACTTGCCAAACACCAAATTAATCTTCATCCATTATTTTTCCAAACCGTCTGTATACTGCGAATGGCAGCTCAACAGAATGGCAGTGTTGATGACCGTTCTATCCAAACGCGGCCTAATACAGTTTTGAGCAGTTGTGCATGTGGGTGTTACCATGATCCTGAACTGGGGCAATTCTGTCTGGCGCTAAGGCAGCTAACTACTTCACTGGTCGAAGAGGAGAGCAAAAGAATGTAAGGAATCTCTCTATCGAGTTGGTGGCAGTGGTTATACTTTATACAATTATACAGTACTGTTTGGGTGAACTCACGATTTTGGTAACTTATGCAGCTTGCATATCCGACAGATAACAGTTTCTATTCGCTATGAAAACCCTAAATGTCTGAACTCGAAAGACAACTTGTTGGACGAATAGAAGCTGCCTGAATGCATCCTGCACGAACTACAAAAATTGCTGGTCACCCAAATTGCAAATAACACGACCCGTTATGTGTATGTGCTGCAAAGTGCTACAAACTAGAGTAGGTAGGGATCTTTTAACTATTGAGTTCACATGTGTGATGCCTGTCAATTCAAATCCAGCCTATCGGCTGTGTTATTTGACAGGTGCAGATGGGTAATTTATCGATCCTGATGTGGCATCGAGTGTACTTACACATACATACCGCCTCATCACTCTGCCTGAGGAACCAGCCTTCCGAGAATCGTTGCCAGTGAAAAACCCAGTTATCAGCAAGTCCAAAATGGAGGAAAAGGCCGAGAGCGGAGACTTATAACTCTAGATCTCTCTGCAGGTCCATACCAATCGAATAAATTGGACGAAAGTTTTCTATCAAGGTCAGTGCGGACATCCGGATCCGAGTCGGAGCGGTAACTGCTGTGGCTCTCGTGTGTACGTTTTCCATTGGCATTGAAACTTACTTAATGTTCTCCAGATAGTGCTCTCCACTCACGTTGCGTTTGCCTATCGTCCTACGTATTCATCCCGTGTAACATGCAATATGTCCCGAGTATGCATTCAGATTATCCTAATCAACATCGGCTTGGCGCATGAACACCTTATATATATCCGGATATCTCTCGTTCCCGATCGATCTCTGTTTCATGATCACGCACGACCTACAACCCGCCATGGCTCCTACCATAGCGCAACAAACAATGTCCGTGACCGAAAACTCGCCACTCTTTGAGGATCATCCTGAGTGTAGGGGCTGCTACCACTGCTTCGTTCAGCCCCAGCAGCAATATGCTCCTGTACGGTTTCTAAGTATGTTACCCGCGCCGTCACTTCAGCCGGGGCCCCGTTTGACCGTTAGATAAGGCGGTATGATTGTTATGTTTGCAACGTTTTTTGGGTGCTTGGCTGTGTTTGGCGCTTTCTGTTTGGTTCTTTATGGTGAGTCGGAAGGGATTCCTTGGGTGTGGTCTTGCTCACAATGAGATACAGCGGCGTATTTATTGCTACAAGGCCTCGGTTTCGACGTATGTTATTATCTCTGGAGCTGCAAGAGTCAGTCGACAACGCCATCGGGTTAGGCTTTGTTGTTCCGAGTTTGGATACGAATACAATTGGGGTTGAGTTTATGGTTCATGTTTCGGTTCTATGAGTTTAGGAAGATGTACTCGCGCGTCATGAGTAGTTTATTGGAGAGGCTGGGTTCAGGAAGGGATATATTTCGGTAGTCTGTTGACGGCTTTTGGATACGACAAGGCTACGCACAGCGAAAACTATGTTTAGCTTCAGATTAATATTTCGGATGTCTTGGAAGAAAATCTGGTGCATATCGATACGAATTTACGGTCGTTTTAAGATTCCAGACCCCTATCGCTTAATCTTCACTATGTCGTGATCATATCTATGTTTCTGATTGAAACTACGAAGATATATCTGTCTACTGTCGGATGTCCAAGAATTGGACGCCAGAAACCCTAAACCTCTCATATCCTGGGTACCAAGCTCGATCGAGCAGTGACCAACGAACGTCATCTATCATCGACATGTTTGGTACGCACCTCAAAAGCGTCATTTGAAGGCGGTTCGTTAGCCAGGGGTTTCGGACATCTGTCATTTGAACCGTGCCAGTGAAGCAACTTTAATGTGATAGAATTCTAGGGTCCTTTTTGGCCTGATATTGATACTACACTCTAACTCTTGAGGTTTGAGGTTAGGTCGCTATCGTAGCTTCCACCTCCTCCGTCGCATTTCCTGCTTCAGAGCCCCCTCATTTGTCTTCTTACTGCCCAGGGGAGAGTTTTGACGGTTGGATAGATCCGGATAGGTAGAAAGGCTTGGAAGGATCACCAAAACCCTCATTATATTCGGGCATACAGAGATTTCTGCTCGTCGATATAACTTATCGAACGCAAGCTTGCATCTTTTAGAAAATCACAAACTGACCTTAATGTAGTACGGGGGAACTCCGGATCCACACTTTAATTATAATTAAA